AACTAAAAGAATTTATATGGATTTAAATTAGTAAAAATATATATAAAAAAAGAAAGTGTTAAAGAAACGTGTTACTCACAAAGTATAAAATATATATATATATATATATATATATATATATATATCATATTTTTAAATAGTAATGTTAATTTTGACTCCAGAAACAGAGTTATGATCAACTCCATTCAGAGAATGTTCGAGTGTTGCTTCATTCATTTGAGTACAAAATAACAAAAACATGGGAAATATTCTTGGCCTGCTTAAGTGGTTGGGTTTATGTCATTCTCCGACACATTTATGATTCATTGAGAATATGAGATGTTATATAATATGGAAATTGGACCACACTCACACGGTCACCACAGGGACTCACCTACCTAGCTACTAAATTACAAATAATTAGGGCAGAATACATGAAAAGTCTATATATATATGAAGTACTAGTGCTAGTACTTCACTGCCCCTATATAAACCTAATTAAAAGACTAAAAGTTCCTTATTGGAAAATAAAAATTGGCTTGATTCAATGTTCTGAAGCAACTTGAAACTAGCTAGGAAATTAACATGTGTATGTGTATATATATAAGGAAGGGTCCGTTTATTCTAAGAGTAAGTTTACCTGGACTTACTTCATTCAATGACTTGTGTTCTACATCAAATTTCAACGATCTAACCGTTGAATTTAAAGTTCTTAATGCATAGATCAAGTCTGTAAATTTTTAGAAAATTTAAAAATTATTTGATACTTCATTTCATTAATTTAAGTTGACAGATAATAACAAAATCATTTTATACATTGATTTGAATTAATAAAATGAAGTATCAAATAATTTTTAAATTTTCTAAAAATTTACAGACTTGATCTATGCATTAAGAACTTTAAATTCAACGGTTGGATCGTTAAAATTTGATGTAGAACATAAGTTATTCAACAGAGTAAGATTAGGTAAACTTACTCCTAGAATAAACGGATCCCTCCTCTAAATATATAAGAAAAGATTATGTACTAGCAATAAAAAAAGATAAGTATTTAAATAACTAAATTTACTAATAAATCTAGTTTAGTTAGGTGAATAAAATATGTGAGTTGTAGTAAATTTCTTAGTATCGAGTTTGATTATGATAAATGCGTAGTTATTTTATAGTATTTAATTTTGATTTAAGAATGTAAGAATTGATTGAAAAGTTTTATAACTGCAAATTTTGCTTATTTGGATAACTTATTTAGAAAAAAAAATATTAAATTGATTTGATATATTTAAATTTCATAGATGAGTATAATTAAATAGAATAACAATATAATAGTAATATATACTTTTTACGGTATATCTGTGATTTTATGAGTACTAACAAATTTAATTAAACTATAGAAAAATGTGTTGGAAAATGTTAGTACTCCTTTGTTAAATGAGCAAGATACTTGACTACACAAGAAAGGAAGTATGCATAGAGATTATCTGAGTTTTTTTTTACAACTAACATATTTACATATTTGATGTGTGGAGTTAGGAATGACAAAAATATCTAAACCAATGGATATTCATGAATAAAATCTGTCATACATAATAAATGGATAGCGTAAATGGATATTTAATGAGTAAGGATACTTTTTTATCCATTTATAAACACGGAGCAAGCGGATATGGTAGTATCCATACCTGTAGATACATGCTAAATAATATTATTTAAATATTCATATTTTTATCTTATATTTTTATATTATTTTAATATTTCAAAAAAATTATCAATTATAAGTTCAAAAATTAATATCAATTGTTTATCTTTAATATTTTAATATACTTAATATTAAATATAAGCTTAAAGTCATTTATAATATATTTTTTAATTTTTAAAATAATTCACAAATATCTATAGATACTCGCAAGTATTTATAAAATTCACGGATACCCATAAAATTTATACCTGTACAGGTATGAGATGGGTACGAGATGAATTTTTATCTGATAGAACAAGTACGGATATCCTATTACGCACTCCCATGGAACCTCATTATCATTCTATGTGGAGTATTTGATTTAAAATACATTTTTTATATTAAGAGAATTAATAAAAAAATTAATTTTGTTAATTTTATGTTTTGAAGTGTATTTTATTTACATTTTGAAATTATTGTTATGTTTATTTAATAATAGTGAAAAAAGTTAATTATATAATATTTACAAATTAATGTATACAATAATGAGTTTAGTATATTTAACTTTATTATAATTAATGTATATAATATTAATTGAAATAATTATTGAATAATGTTAATAATAATGTTGTGTTTACACCGAACATTTAATAATGAGTATTCTATTAGGAGAATAAAAAAAAAATTGGTTAATTCAAATACATCTTCTCTTAATATATGTTAATTCATACATTGCAGCATTAATGTGGATGTTTTATTCTTTAATACTCTATCATGTGATAATGGAAATACCATTTTGAGGTTATACAAAATTGATGAATTGTATCATTTAAAACATTAAACCAAAAAAAATTATATATTTTTATGATTAATACACCATCTAACTCGTCCCAGGATTTATAAGAGGCTGTGTATACACCGGAAGAAGAAAACAATAATTCTCATAAATCTAATTTATTAGAGCAAAAGAACTTGTTCTCATGCTATTCTAAGAAATTTTATAAATTAATTATTCTGAGTGATATATGATGTAAACAAAATAAAGTACGATGCAAATTCTGTTTAAAAATAAAGAGATATTATGATGCAAATTCTCCAATTTAAAAATATTTAAAATTCAAATTCGAGAAAAATAATTAAATTAAAATAATTTCATTAGTTGATCCAGACATTTGGTGGTTAAAAACTAGTAAATTAAAATTATTTATAGACATTAAATACTTATAATCATATGTGTTTGCATTTTAAAAAATATTACAGATGTAACTTGTTAATAAATAATTCTAAAAAAGAAATAGGTATATATTAACAAATTTTACAAGTATTTGTTAACTTACATAGCTTGTTTCTTAGAAAGAATAAGTTAACAAGTTACATTTTGATGTATTTTAAATAAAATTGTAGTTATAGTCTTCTAAATTCTTTTGAAAAATAAGTGAGTGTAATTTAACAATTTATACATATATCCAATAAGAGTTTGTCTTAATATGTGAAATGAGATGAGTGAATTATAACCTTCAAATTAAATATAAATATAATTAATGATTAAATTAAAACTTAATTATAAACTCTTTCATTCAAAAATATTATTATTATCGCTTTCACAATTATCATTACCACCACCACAGTTGTTATCATTATTATTATCATTATCATCATCGTTGCTTTCATGTGATAGGAAAATAGTAACAATATTGACAACATCACCTTCACTGTCATAATTTTTGTTATCACATGATCATTATCATCGTTGTCGTCACGTGGTAATGACAATGATGATGATAACAACAATGATGATAACAATAGTAACATTATTGTTACCATCATTATCACCATTGTTGTTATTATCTATCACCACAAGTGACGGGAATAATGGTAACAACAATAACAATAATAATAACTACAGTAATAATGATGATGATAATTGTGATAGTGGATGATGGTAATAATTGTGGAAGGGATAATAGTAATATATTTTAACAAAGCCAGATGCCTTTAAAATCATTTTAAGTAATAACTTCATTAGATAGCAAGATGAAAGTGGGAATGTTTACAAAATTAAGTTGCGGACAAGTTACAACCGAATGACACAGACTGGCCTATATTACCCAAGGATAAGGGTGTTCATGACCCGACATATAACCCAAAGAAATTTTTTGGCGAATTTGATTTTAACAAATTGAATCTTATGTATTTTAAGGACAGGTTTGGGAAGGGTCGTCTCAACGGTCCAACATCATATATTATATATTTAATAATTCTCAAATAACTATGTATTAATTATATAACTACCTACCAAAGGATATGTCTAAAACTACCTAGGTTGCGAAAGAGGCTAAAATATTCTCAAATTCTGACAGAATTAGTGTCATTTAGAGTTTGTGCTGGGCCCTGAACCTTGTTATTCTGATCCATTCTGGGAGTGCAGGAACCATGGATTAAATGAACAGACCAACCAAAATTGCATATCCCGAGAACTTCTTAAGTTCAAAAATATGATTTAGAAATTTAACTTGAAAAAATATCATTGTATCATCTGAAATACATTCTACTAATAATATTAGTATTACAATACAATATTGTGGGAGACACTATAAAAAACAACACTTGTTTGGCATATTCTCAGTTCCATTTGTGTTTTGAATGATTGAAATGGGCATAGTAGAAATTGATAATACTTGATACTTTAAAAAATAGTACCTTTTAGGGTGTCGCATACAAAATCGAAGCTATTAGGCGTGCAACGCAAATTTATTTAAAAGAACATTCATCCTGTGCTCCATTCTCAAATTTATATGCTAGAAACAATATACCCTTTTGTTTATACTTTTTAAGAGTAAAAGCACTTTCATTTAATAAAATAAAGTTTTTTTTATTCATTTGAATAAACTTATCTTAAAATACAATTTCAACAATCTGCCTTAAAAAAGAGTTTAAAAAAAAAACTTTTTGCAGTCACTTTTTGCAAACTAGCCCAATACTAAAACACTTGTCACACGATAAACTATATCTAAAATAAAAACAAAAATAAAATAAAAATAAAATAAAAGTTCACGTATTTAGAAATATGAACAAATTTATGTAACCAAAGGTGTATGGGCCATGAAATCATCAAGAGTTATAGAAGCGTACTGCATTCAGAGTTTGCACTCAGAATAGCATACATGCTAGAGTTCACGACGAGAACTCATTGAATCTCTATTGATGCCAAACTCATCATCGGTCTAAAACTGCCACACTAATAACAACTAATATATTCCTCCAATGAAATAAATTTAATTTGAGAATATATTTTGAAGGATTACCCCAAAAAAGCTAAGAACTAATAGTACAGGAAGCATGCAACTGAGATCTACAAACATTATTGCACACCTTGTACCAAAAAAGCATTTAACTTTCATATACTAAACATTACAGCAAAAATATAAACTTTGAAATCTGCCAAGTACTGTAAACTAAATAAAATTACCGGACAAAACCTAAAGGTAAATTATCACGCAGTTATAACTGCATTATGCAAACAAAAGATAACCATGCAGAAATTATAGAACCTCTACCATAACCTGCACTACTGTTGAGCACATTGAACTCGAGGACCAGATGGCTCATCATCCTCTTCATCATATGCCTCACGATACTGTTGCTGCTGCTTTCGTTTCATCTCCTCCTTAATGTTAACATCATGCAAAGTGGTCTCCTCACAATCATCCAGCTCCATATCTGACATTTGCTTGCTGACCTTCTGAGGTAATACCTTTTCCAATAACTGGCATTGCTCGGGGGAAAGGGACCCCGAGTCAGGGAAATCAACATTGAACTGGATGTAAAGGCGACCCTTCATGAATGGCCTGTTGTGTTGGGGCATTCCTTCATCATTTATAGCTTTGTATTGACCTACATACAAAAATTAAATCATGAATCAGTAAATGGAATATGATGGTGGAATAAAATTCCAGTTGGAAGTAGAATCACGATACAATTTGTGTATAGAAAGCCTATTTCCCGAATCATGAATTGAATGGTAAATCATAAGATTCATAATCAATAAAAACATAGTATATATATATAAAAGACATATAAAAGCAGTTTAGATATATTTTAATATTAAAAAAACATGAAAATGAAATTCATACACGGATGTATAGTAGCATATAAGCTTCAGTACAAATAATAACAGCCACAAGGCCAAAAGAAGTAGCTGTCTCCAAAGATCAGCAACAGTGCCTCCCAGAAAAACCAGTGTTGTTCATTCAATTCCTTTTCATTTAACAATTTAAACTTATACGACTTTTCAATTTTTCATGAGAATTAATAAAAACTAAGGTAAAAATTAAATAAATCTTATGATTCTTATATCGGTGGTACGAAATTGTATAAATTCATTTGCGTAAATTGTACAAATTCATTTATGTATCGCTAGATACAAAAACATTTTAGATTCAACCTAGGATTTGTATCGGTATGTTGCCAAATTGTATCAAATATGGAATTGTAAGATTATGATAACTATGTGTACTCCCAAAAGTTGTATACATTACCTGGCTTGATGACTTCTCCAGGGTTTGATTTGATCAATAGCTGCCTACCATCAAGATGTGTGACAGCAAACTGGAAGCCACAGAGTGCCTCAGTTAAGTTGAGAGTGTGATCAATAAAGAGGTCATCATGCTCCCTCCTGAACTTTGGGTGATCTTTAACTTGTAACACAAAAACAATGTCTCCTGTAATTGTGTCAGGCTGCAACAAGTATACACATGCATTAAATTTAAGAAACCATCATTGGCCAAAATTATCAACTTTAAAAGGTATCAAGACCATTAGAGCATACAAACTAGAAACCACTTACAGCTTCATCAGCTTGTCCTTCAAAAACAATTTTCTGACCCTGCTGCATCCCCTTATCAACATGCACCTCCAGAACCTTCCTTTCCTGGCTAACCTTGTTTCCTTTGCACTGAGGACATCTATCCCTCTCGCTAATGACCTCACCTGCATCAATGAAAGATGAGCTAGAGGAAACAAGTTCATAAAGAAACCTAACAAATATGGAATATGAAGTTTGCATTACCAGTTCCTCTGCAGTCAGGACAGACATGTTGCATTTGTTGAATCATGCCTAGTCCAATCTGCCTTCTTGTAACCTTCATACCAGTCCCTTGGCACCCAAAACACCTTCCAGCTGTTCCACTTTTTGAACCTTTCCTGATTTATCAAAATTTGCATGTAAACCATGGCTATAGCTGATTAATTGTGAAATTTTGACAATAAATAATCTTAAAGAAGCATCTGTCATATTCAAATAATAAATAAATTCTACAAACACAAACTAATATATTTGAACAAGACTGACATGATTTAACATGCCTCAGCACAAGACAATGGTATTATGCAAATTGTATTTCACAAACTTCTGATATTCCAAAAGTATTAATTCTATGATGAATTGATGACTCAATATTAAAGTTTATCTTAATGTAAGATGCAGCTACATTGAAACTTGGGGCTCAAACAAAACTGACTAGGATTAGACAAACAATTGGAAGCTGTCATCTGAGCTGCATATATTATGACAGGAAACCCTTTGAAAAGAGACATATATTCAGAAAATAAGGTAGAGCCACTTTTCTGTAAAAAAACATAACTGAGTAAAAATTCCTATAGTTTTAGCCTCTGCATATTTCAACAGTATATTCATGCACTATATTTATCAATCCCAAATAATGGAAGACAGGCAACCACAAAAGCACTATAGCAGGTAGTGAGATGGCTTCTATTGTTAAATTGAGATGAAAATTGAACAATTCATATTATAAACAAAAATGTTTTAGCTTCTTTGACATAAGCCCTATTTTCTGTTGGAATTCAAAATCCTAAAAATACAATCTTGAATGTTAATCATCAAACAAACTGGGTTAAAGTGATGGCCATGATTTTATGAGATAGTAGTCACAGTTTGCACTGAAAGACAACTACTCCACAACAGGACACACAAGTAACCAGACAGCAAAGTATGATGCCACAATAGCAACAAAATCATGCGCTATTGACAACTAAGATATGCACAAGTACAATTTTTTTTTGACAGTCACATGTACACTTAATACATGTGAATGTCCACATTCCCTTTTTTTTAGTGAAATCACATCCTTAAAATCACTTATGGGACACAAATATTGAATATTGTGAATTCTATAAAAATAGCACCAACCCAATACAACATTTTTTAAAAGATATAAACAATTAAACATAAATGAGTCCATACCCTTTACATTTTGAGCATAACACGTTTCTAGAAAGAGATAGTTTCTTCATTGTGCCATTATAGACATCCTCCAAAGAAACCTTTAAAGAATGCACCACATCTTCACCATGCTTCTGTCTTCTACCTCGAGAACTACTACCACCTAAACGTTGACAGTAATAGTGAGTTGGTCAATATTGCAAGATGATTCACAAATGAAAATGAAATAAAAAGTTTCAAAAGTGAACATCTCACCACCAAAGCTAGGTCCTCCAAAAAATGATTCAAATATATCAAATGGATTATGAAATGAGCTTCCTCCTCCACCCATCCCTTCTTTAAGGGCATCTTCACCATATTGGTCATACAGTTCTTTCTTCTCAGGATCACTTAAAACTTCATAAGCTTGACCTAACTCCTTAAACTGATATATGAATCGGATAATATTTAGTAATCAAACAGAAGAAACAAGGACAGCATGCTAACTTAGCAGCTTTTCAAGAATAAAAGGTTGCCAAGTAAACAACATATTTCATATAAATGAAAAGCTTTAACACAAAAATACAGCATACAATAATTTGTAACACTAAATAGAAAAAGATAGAGAAATTTGAAATGTAATAAAAAAAATAAGGTAGAGAGCCATAAAAAATGATATTGTACAAGTTGTTGTGTTTATCACATCTCTTATTTTTTAAGATATTATTTTTATATTTTAACCCACTACGCTCAGTCTAGTAGCAGAAGATTTAAATAATTTGTATGAGTTCTTAAATTAAAACATTTTAGAGTCATTGTAGAAAGAAAAAAAAATAATACATTCACTATTACCGAGTGGATTTCTTATGAACTTTTAAAATATGATTAACAAGCCTAGTTAAATAGGAATTAATGTTCACATCATCCTTTACTAAAATTTAAATGAATGCATGCAAGATTGATATCAAATATCTTTACAGTTTACAATATATATATATATTCACTCTATTAAGAGATAACTACAGAATTACTAATATAAAAACTTTATAATTAAATTATATGGTCAACTCACAAACACCGACCCTAATAGAAGGGCAAGGCATTTGCCTAGGATAATTAAAATACAATGCATGGGGCTTACTTTTTCAGGATCTCCACCCTTATCTGGATGATTCTTCATAGCTGCCTTCCTGTAAGCCTTCTTGATTTCATCTTCACTGGCATTTTTTGAAACCCCAAGAATATCATAATATTTGGAGTTATCACTCCTCCTCGGTCCACCACGCCCAAACATGACTGCAGCACCTAAAAAACCACTACACAAAAAATAAAAAGAATTATAAAGTATAAAAAAACAAGTGAAAATATTTATATTGCATAATAGAAGACAGAACACTTCGAACTCATTCACTTCACATAATTTAACCTTTACATCCATCACAACCAGTAAACATATCCCACCACCTCAAATAACAACACTAATACACTGAAAGCACTACCACCCCACAATCCAAAACCATAAATTCGTCACCTTTAAATTAAAAAAAAAAAAAAAACCAATCGCAGGTTCTTACCCAGAAACTTTTTTTTTAAAAAAAAAAACAAAAATCTCAAAGTCGCCTTCCCTATAAAGGAACAACAGAAATTTCATTTTCAAAATAATTATTTATTTTCAATTTTTCGTACCCAATAACAAAACCTCAAAATTAAATCATACATGAACAAAAAAGAAAAAGAAATATATATATATATACAATAAAAATATAAAAAATAAAAATAAAAGATCATGCAACACAAACTGAAAAGTGCGTCATAAACACAATCAAAGCCACGAGAAAAATATAGAAAGAAAACAACACAGTTAAAAATGGACGATCAAATTTCCGATCTAATAAACTGAGGAATCAAAAACCCTAACGCAATTGAAACAACGGATGGAACAGATCTGAACCCTAGAAATCAAAGCGAGAAAGAAAGGGCATACCAAACGGTGTCGTTGATGTAGTCGCTCTTCCTTTTCTTCAAGGGGAGAAGAGAAACCCTCGAAGAGAAAGAAAGAGAGTAAGAGAGAGAAAACAAAAGTGCCGCTTAGTTTTTAATTTATCCTACTTTGGGTTCGTTCAAGAAATAGGAAGAGGCAAAATTAAAAAAGAATAGGAAAAGGTTTTGATATTCCCACAACAAAATGGAATACCAAGAATCTGCAGCCAAACACAAGAATTATTATGTATGCAGGTTACGTGCATGGTTTTTATTTGCTTAGTAGCGAAGTACCTTGTTTGGGTTTAAAATTCTCTGTTTGGAGACTAGGTTTGATTAGAAACTCACTCGTTTGGTAGACGCACAGCTTTGTCACTGTATCTGGCTAAGCTTAGTCTCGCTTGACGGCGCCTCTTACTCACATATTATTTTAAATATAATTTTTTAAATAATTATATAAATAATCATATTCAATATATAATTAGATATTAATGAAAATATATATTATCAATGGATTTTAATTAAAAACTATATAAAAAGATAGCTGTTAAGAATTTAGAATAAAATGTCAATTTCATTATATATATATAATCCTTTTAGGGTTGTCATCACATGTAAATACAATTAGATTCAACTAATGTACCTTGAATATTAATCTTAAATTTAAATTAATAATATATATTTTAAATATAATATTTATGATTTTAATAATTATAAATATATATATATATAATAAATCAAGTTAACCTTTTTTTTTGCCACAAATATTTTGTGCCTATTAAAATAGATACTAATTTTATTTGAAACCCTAATTATTACTAATTTAAAAGGTTTTTACATTGAAATCAAATACAGAATTTTTCACTAATCAATAAAATAAAAAAAATTGACTGAGCCGAGCTGCACAAAAATAAGTTTAGGCTTAAATTCATGACTTCTATCAACAATAAATGCTTAACGTTACATTGGACCTCTTTTTAATTTTGTAATTAATATTTTCAAAAAATTGAATTCGAGTTAATCAATTCATTAAATTTTTTTTACAACTTATGGTTACTTTAGACTAGTTGGTGCTTTTTTAATTTGAAATTAATATTTTTAAAAATTTTAATTTAAATTAATGAATCACACAACTTCAAGTTTATGATCCTATATTTCTCATTCATAATTTATAGGTTAATTGTGTTTTTGATCTCTCAAGTATTGTAATTGTGCAATTTTGATTCTTAAAATTTTAATTAGGTAATTTTAGTCCTTAAAGGATTACAATTGTACAATTTTGGTCCTTCAATTTTTAATTGAACAATTTTAGTGCCTCAAATATCATAATTGTGCAATTTTAATCTCTCACATTAAAAATTTAATAATTTTAATATATATATACAATATTTTAAAATTACACAATTATTTATCTATTAAAGTTACGCATATTATAATTTTCTTCGATGTATCAAATGATATATATATATATATATATATATATATTTATTTATTTATTTTTAATAAATAAATAAAATTTATATATTATTACTTTTATAATATTACTGATAAATTAATATCAATAATATTATCA